TTTTTTTAACATTTTCTAATGGTGGTGTGCCTCCTGATTTTTTTCATGAAAAAAGTGTGCCTTTGCACAAAAAAGGTTGAAAAACACTGGATTAAGGCATGATATCATCAAAATATGTTGAAGTTAATTCTGAATGCGGGAGGTCAAAATGAGGGACACTGTCTTGGTTATTAGAAAGAAGAAACATCTTTCAGTTAAAGATGAAGTCATTGGGACTTTTAATTTTATACGAACAGTAAATTAGGTTATATTTCAGTTCTGTCCACATACTTTCTGATTTATTCTAACAGCTTAAGGTAAAGGTTCTCCTCGCACATCTGTGCTAGTTGTTCCCAACTGTAGGGGGAGGTGCTCATCTCCGTTTCAAAGCCGAAAAGCCTGTGCTGCCCGAAGATGTCTCCGGGGTCTCGTGGCTGGCATGATTAAACACCAAAGGCGCACGGGGGAATTGTGGGTCTTAAATGCCCACGCATTTTGAAGTTGCCAATGTTGAGAAACACTGCTCTAGTCATTTTCTCCAAATTCATCTCCTCTGTCGCTTCCTTTTTCCTTTAGTTCTCAACAATTTCCCCCCACAATTTTAAGACTAACCCTTTCTAAACAATCCCTGTGGTACACATACTCCCAAAATGAGGGTCCACATATCACCAAAACACGGATCACCAAAACATGTATCCAAAATCTGAGCAAAACAACCACTTGTTACCATCATTTTGCATGCATTTAAACCGTACCGAGATTCCATCCACTCCTATCCTGACGCATACAACTTGTTTATGTTTGAATTCCCATTTTGTTACCTTGGCCAGCTGGTCAAAGGAAAGAATATTCCTTGTGTTGTGGTCTTACACTCCAGCTTTCCCTTTCACCAAAAGTAGTTCTTCTGTTGTGGCTTGCTGGTTAGAGCTCCCTAAATCTGGTGCCACAAAGAAGATGCGGCTAAATTCGGTTTGCTGAAATCATCCGTCAAGGATGAACAGTTCTTATTTAGGGGCTACAGCCAATAACATGAGACCAAGGAGCTGAGGAAATTGGATGGGCAGGATAAATTTTGTCATGTGGGAGGAGGAGAACACAAACAAGTTATATGCTTCAGGCAAGGGGAAAGTGGAGGAGGGGGCAGTTATGGGCCGAGGAATCTCATGTTTAGGAAGCAGATCCCAAAATGCAAACTCATCTGATTTTCAGCAATGGATTATTGATAACATGTTTTGCTTCTCCATGTTTCAATCGGGATCTTTGTTATTGTTGTCTTCTGATAAAAAGAGCAAGTTTTGCTCATGAGATAATCTTCCTCTGTTTTTTCCTTTTTCTCTCCTTACTTTTTCCCCCCTTTCCTTCTGTTCTGGTGTATAGCGTTCAACCTCCAATTTGACTATCAATCTTATAAATGGATAAAAGGTAAAAATTCCCTTCGCATATATGTGCTAGTCGTTCCCAACTCTAGGGGCGGTGCTCATAGGCTCCAATTACAATCAGGAGAACACACGATTTCTTTTTCCACAGTTGCTCAACTTCAATTTGCAAGTCCCGGTACTTTGTGATTTTTTTTTCTTGCTGCTTACCTTTAATTCGCGCATCACCAGGTATTGCAATGTCAATGAACCAAACATTTTTCTTTTCAACTATTGTTATGTCAGGTGTGTTGT